GGTTATTAGTCCTTTCCCCTCAGCCTGAATATTATCTACAGAATCCACAAGTATTATTTTCCTATCACCTGCATAATTTTCATGTTGGAGTTCACAAGTAACTGGTTACCATAACTTTCTCTTCAGCCCAATCATTTTCATGCTGGAGTCCCCAAGTGAGTGGTTATTATAACTTTCCCGTCAGCCGAATCAATATCATGATGGAGTCCTTAAGTAACTTGATATTATTACTTTCCCATCAGCCCAATAGTTTTCATGCTGGAGTCCCCAAGTAAGTGGTTATTATTACTTTCCCTTAAGCCCGATCCTTCTCATGCTAGATTCACAAATTAAGTGGTTATTTTTATTTTCCTGTCAGCCTAATCATTATCATGATGAATTCCTTAAGTAACTGGTTATTATTACTTTCTCTTGAGCCAAATACTGGAGTCCTCAAGTAACTGGTTATTATTACTTTCCTTTCAAGTTCAATATTATCTACCAAACCCCTAGTACTCACCTCTCAGTCGTCTCCATCTCATCTGTAGCCTGTCTCTGTGCAGTAGTAGACATACTATCAAAATTAGTATCATCATAAAACCAAGTAATGCTGATCCGATTCCAATAATAACAGTTGCCCATTCTACGTTGGTATCTGTACCTGTAAACACACATAATAGCGGATTTAGTACAAGCCAATATTCTCAGGCAGACATCCAGGCATTTTCACTGCCTGGCAACCATCACGGTGAAAACAAAGGCTTAAAATACTTAGAAAACTGTACTTTGGGATAGTTGTTGAGGCTCTCCTGAGCAGTGTAATAAGATTACTCCTATGTGTGCAATGTATATAAATTTGGTTGTTTAGAATTAAATTACTTCAAAGTTGCGTTTGTACTGTTTTCTCGACTTTAGCTGTTTTCATCGGCTCTTTGACCGGCGTTCCACAGCAGCTCACAAAGAACCCACAAAAATACATAGTACAGTGGTGCGTGTCTTAGCAACGTGGAACATATTTTTACGTAGCTCTGCCCAAGAATACCTAATTCACAAATGGCCATGCAACTTTTTTTTGACCCATATATAATACCTTTATTCTCTACAGTTATTATGTCCACTGTTTTCCACCACCAGTGTAATCGTGGCATTAGGGACTAGGGACACAATGGCAGCATAGAATGAAACATTATTTGGAGAGCAAAAACAAGGTGCATTTCTCTCTAGAAATGTTTGTTTGCCATTTGATTTTGTGATCTGGTAATCAAGATGGCCATATTTCAATTGATGATTTGAAATTTGATACACGTTTGAGAAAGAAAATTACATCGGGGCATTGTCTGTTCCACTTGTATGGACTGTATGTTTACTGCGCTATCCTGGTGTCAACCAGGCTCAGTCGCATACAAGCACCTGAGGTACTTAACCAAGGTTCCCCCAATGTCGCGTCCGTTAGTGAATGAATCTCGGCCAGTGGAATTGGCTTTCCCATCAAGTCTGTGGCACATTCACCCAGGGTAGGGGTCGACCCTTTAGGTGTTTAGCCTGAGGTAGGTTTGAACTTGGGTTTACCGATCATGAGTCTGATGCAACACCCACTATGCTACCAGTGACTGGTATGAACTGTTTGTTTAATATGAAGGTGTTTGCAAAAATTGGGCTAGATTTTGATAACCAATGATATTAGGATTGTTTCGTAGAGTAAAACTCATGTTTATGAACTCAGACGTTCATCACATCCCAAGTAAGGGAAAAAATATGTCCTGCAAAAGTTGGGTAAATGCTCTCAAATACCTTGCAGATTTGCAAAGTGGGAATACATGTGCAACTTAAAATAAAAGTCAGACAGATACCTGTACTGCAAGCCTCAACTTCTCGACAAATATCATCTTTAAATCCTTGCTGTTGACATGAATGTATGACCTGTACGTCCTCAGGGCAGCACGGTACGCACGGACGACATGTACCATAGGCGTCCTCGAAATACGCTTGATTACAGCTGCAATCTTCCAGTGTAGTATTCCAGTGTGAATTGTTATCTTCACACAGGGTATTAATAATTGATGATGACTGTATACTTCGCCTTCTGATTGCACTCTGCAAAATTAATATAATAGCCTCAATTCGATGTGACCTCTGACCTCAAACATTTCCCATGATGCATTATGAGATAATATCCCAGAATGCAAAGCACAGGCTATTAATAATTGATGACGACTGTATACTTCGTCTCCTGATTGCACTCTGCAAAATTAATATAATAGCCTCAATTCGATGAGACCTCTGACCTCAAACATTTCCCATGATGCATTATGAGATAATATCCCAGAATGCAAAGCACAGGGTATTAATAATTGATGACGACTGTATACTTCGTCTTCTGATTGCACTCTGCAAAATTATTATAATAGCCTCAATTCGATGAGACCTCTGACCTCAAACATTTCCCATGATGCATTATGAGATAATATCCCAGAATGCAAAGCACAGGGTATTAATAATTGATGGCGACTGTATACTTCGTCTTCTGATTGCACTCTGCAAAATTATTATAATAGCCTCAATTCGATGAGACCTCTGACCTCAAACATTTCCCATGATGCATTATAAAGTAATATCCCAGAATGCAAAGCACATCCCCATTAATAAACTCTATTTTTTTAAAAATAATTTGAACTAAGTTGAAATAAAATTTAAATGCATCAGTTAATTTGCGATATACAAATTAATAAAGTGGAACGGCAATAATTATAACTTTAGGCAGGGGAAAAATATTCTGGCAACGATATTTAACTGTTATTACAGCATTTGAGACAGAGACATCAAAAATACACAATTATCCTATGCAATAATAAATTGTTCTAGAAAAATATACACTACAGTAAAGTCAAGGTGTAACTTTACTTCCAAGCTCTTTATTTGCCTTTTTATAAAAACTTATCATTTTTAAAGTGAGTATGATTATCATCAATAATTTTAACGTATTCTTCTTGGTATTTACCTATGTTACTAATGTAAGACATACAATACAGTACAGTCTGGGTGTAACTTAAGTAAAGCTAAAACCATACTGCACATGCTACTGTGAAATACTTTATTTTAGCTGGAAATAATTTACGCTGAGAAAACTTATTGGGTGTTTCGTATGGGATTTATTTTCACTAATTCATACCTCAGAGAAAATAAATTATTCTACAGTACATTACCACATTGCCTGATGATGCCATATTGGTTAGCATTGGAGACTTTCAGCAGGCATTTTGTTCACCTTTTCACCACCGGTTCCCTCTTTACATCACAAATTAGAAGATTGGGACAAAAGTAGCCAAATTTGTTGAGTAAAAACTGAGAATTGAATTAAATTTTCTCTGTTAGCTTCAAAATTAGGGTTTATTTTCAGAAATATTCAAGCATATGAGAAAAAAGTGCCGACAAATTTGGTCAAGAAAGTCTGGTGGTGAAGGTTGTCATGCTACATCCTCGTTGTGATAAGTAAGTGACAATGGTCTCAATGCTGTCATGAAGATGATTTTTCTGATTGTCCACTTAATTAAAAGATGTTATTAGTTTGTGAGCATGGATATTATTTGTAAAAAATAAAATGATATATTCAGTGTGCTCTCTACAGAACTGATTTTTTAGGAATCCTAAATCAAAATGTTATCCAGTTGAGTCAGCTTGTTGACTGCCTGAGAGGGCAGCATTCAAGAAAAATAATAAACTTGAACTTGATAGTATAGATGACTTGAGGGATTAACAAAAATATTGTGGCCCACGATTTATTTAAATGTGAATTTCATTTTACCAAATTAGCTGCTAAGACTAATTGAGACAACAGTTATTCCAATGTCCGGAAACATTGCATGCAGTGTGTTCTCTAACAGGACTGATTTTGAAGGAGCGCCCTCTACAGGACTGATTTTGTAAGGGCGTCCTCTGCAGGACTGATTTTACAGGAAGTCAAAATGGTAACCACCCTAAATCAAGATGAGTCAGCTTGTTGACTGCTGAGAAGGTTGGTATTCATAAAGAAAACAAAATTGTATTGACTGCATAGATGACTATGGTATGAAAAATATAAATATTTAATTAAATCATGATTACCCGGTATATATATTTCGGTCATATCTTGATTGATGATACAATTATAGTACAAGTTTTTAAAAGATTACAGTATGCAAATTATTGAGGTAACATGACCATATATGGTCATCTGATATGTTGGTCATCTCTTGTCAGATGCCATTATTATAGCATCAGTTGCATGAGTGGTTGAGAAATTGCAGATATTATCAATATGCAAATAAGGTAATTAATATGCAAATAAGGTAATTAATATGCAAATAAGGTAATTAATATGCAAATAAGGTAATTAATATGCAAATAAGGTAATTAATATGCACAGATTGCAAAGAGGAACATTCTTCAAGATCACCATATCAATGATGTATGACTTTCTTTTGCATCAATGATGTACCCGTGACTTAGCACAACTTATTGTATCACAGAAACCCATTAATAATCAGAGGCACGTAATATCAGCTTAGTCTAGAGTAGGTACTACACAAATTTGTTGTTGATTTAAGTTACACATATCAATATTTAATTTTCGTTGTAGATGCAAAAAATACGAGAGGGTTTCGCAAAAGTTGTACTGTAAGTTACAGACTTGTATTGCCATGACAACTACTTACCCTTCTGTTCTTCTGTAAATATTTTGGATAAGCATAAATTTGGCAGTTATCGTAAACAAACTTGAAATGTTGATGTGAAGGCAGGCTCTGTACTCTGTTTTTAAGGCCGTCTAGACTACATAGATCATTTTGTAAATAATGAGATTGGTCAGGTACATGTACATCTACACCATCTATCAAATCCTGCAAAAAAATATTTTATGTAATTTTAGTCTCAGATTCCAGTCTTGCATTTCATTTCAAAACTCATGTATGTTCACTCTGTGTAATTCTGTATAATGAAATCGTAAAAAATATTTTACATACAATATATAAATGTGAGCTTATTTGCATACAAAAATAAATATATGTGAGCTTATTTGCATAAAATAAATAAATGTGAGCTTATTTGCATACAAAAATAAATAAATGTGAGCTTATTTGCATACAAAAATAAATAAATATGAGCTTATTTGCATACAATAAATAAATGTGAGCTTATTTGCATACAATAAATAAATGTGAGCTTATTTGCATACAAAAATAAATATATGTGAGCTTATTTGCATAAAATAAATAAATGTGAGCTTATTTGCATACAAAAATAAATAAATGTGAGCTTATTTGCATACAAAAATAAATAAATATGAGCTTATTTGCATACAATAAATAAATGTGAGCTTATTTGCATACAAAAATAAATAAATATGAGCGTATTTGCATACAATAAATAAATGTGAGCTTATTTGCATAAATAAATGAATCTCAGCTTATTTGCATAAAATAAATAAATCCCAGTTTATTTGCATAAAATGAAATGCAGTCACATCATTTGTAGTATGAAACCTTACAACAATGTCACTGAATAAACATGTGGTGTGGTTTTTTTAGGCAGAAAAAGTTTTTTTTATCTGGTATCAAAAATAACATTTTCCTCCTACTTTCTAAAAAAACATACCTTTACATTACTGTAGAATACTTTATTTTCGCTTGGAATTTATTTTCGCTATTTTCGCTGAAGGGATGATTTTGTGAAAATAAAATCCAGCGAATATACTTTTTTCCTATATTCACATTAAACTCATCAAAAATCAGTGAAAATAAAATACTTTATTTTAGCTGGAATTAATTTTTGCTGAAAATAGACTTTTTGGTTGTTTTGTATGGAATTTATTTTCACTGATTTTTGACGAGTTGAATGTAAAATATAGAAAAAAAAAGTATATTCGCTGGATATTATTTTACTGAATCATTCCTTCAGCAAAAACACTAGTAGTGAAAAATTATTCCGAGCGAAAATAAAGTATTCTACAGTATGCAAGTATGTCCAGTCATGCAATAGCATAAAAAGTAAGAAATGTATGGACAGCAATACAGGGAATACAACTCATGACATTGCCCCGAATAAAATAGCCATGTCCACCATGCTGGATTATTGCCGGAAATAGAAAGTGGCTGCCTAAAATCATTATTCAACTGAAAGACAGCAGCTGATGTTCTGTGACCACAGTCACTTGGGGACTGAAAATCAATAAATACTATTTTTTTAAAAAACAAAATATTCGCTAAAAGCATATAAATGAACAAGTTCTGAAACATGGTACCTAGCGAAATGGACACAATGTCGGTTTCAAATGTCGATTTCTTACCTTAAAATGCAAAACAAAAAATTTATAGGGGATCGGGTGTTACGTTAATAACCATTGTTCATAATCGCTAACTTGGTTTTATTCAAAACTGCACAAATCCTGCGTTTTCTGACGATATCCGACGATTTCAAAAATAGCCAGCAGCCAGAATCAAGGGGAATTTGCGCAGAGTTCTATATAGTTAAATGCTTATAGCGGATGATTAAAAAAAAAAAATAGTATTTATTGATTTTCAGCCCCCAAGTTACTGTGTCTGTGACCACAGACTTACAGTCGTTTTTTTATTGATTATTTGTGATTATTTAGTGATTTACTGGTCATTTCCAATAGACAGGTTTGTGGAAATTGTTCCTGTCAAATAAAATTTTATACTTGTATAAAATGCAGATGATCTGTCATAAATGATAGGTAGACAGGTAGCCCTGCGTACGAACGCGTCCCCGTACACACAGCACTGTACGCAGGGCTAGTAGACAGGTGACTGGCGGAACGCTTGTTACTTTGTCAACACACTGTAAAACACGTCATTCAGTTAATCCTATTTTAGTTAACTCAAAGTATATAAAGAGACAAGCAATCGATCGCAAAATTCAGGGGATCAAAAGGGCAGTTCAGTTTTTTATTCAGATGAATGTCGTTCATTTTTTTTTTAGTGGGGGGGGGGGCCTCATACGGAACAACAAATTACTAAGGTACAGACTTGACGACATATTTTCGGACGGGCGGAAGTGTACACGACGACTGACATGACAAGTTAACTTGTATGTATGCATCTATGATTCAATTTCGATGACAGCATAAATAAAATAAGACATTTACCTGCGAGATTGTGGTGAGAACAAACCAAATTACCCCAGAGCTGAGGGACATTGTCGTTTTCTGTCGATGAGCCATGTTTACTTCCTGTATGGTAGTTTGTAAATTGTTTCCTCGGCAATAGCGCCATCAATAGGTCACACTCTTGTTCTAACTGTTGTTTTCATCAGGTTTCATAACACTAATTTCCCTACCGGCTGTCACCAAAAAGATGCAGAATTGTTACGCACATCGAGTTACAAAACGAGTGTGAAGACATCGTACCAGGGTTCGATTCGCTTACGATTCAAGTACAACTGGCGCACGATTGATACTCCCATTGAAATACCTATATTTCACGCAAAAGCTGATATACAAGTATTCTCGGGGCGGACATCCGGGCATTTTCATTGCGTGACAACCATCACGGTGAAAACAAAGGCGGAAAACGGTACTTTGGGATGGTTGTTGAGATTCCCCTAAATATAGTAACAAGATTACCCCTGCGTGTATAACGCGTCTTAGCAACGTGGAACATCTTGTGACGTAGCTCAGCCCCCGAGGATAGAAATTTCAGCCAATTTCCAATATTTTTTTGCGATTTTTAGTACATATATGACAATATTTTCATAGTGCGCATGACAGCTCCCTAGCGCGAATGCACGAATGTGAATGTACGAAAAAGGTCAAAAGACAATGAATGTGAAAAAAAAACTTCGTCAACGTCCTTGTTTCAAAGATTTCTTTAGTTTTTTTTTAGCACTGAGTGGTGATAATTTGAGACTGTATATATATGTATATATATATTTCTATAACTATTTTATACTTGTTTGAGCCAACGTGACTACCGATGTGAGCGAGACCATGGGACTATTTATAACCATGATATTCTCTAAAAGAAAATTGATTGATCTCAATCCCCTACACAAAAATTGCTAAATATAATTTTTTTTATAAATTATAGGTATTGCACGTCAATCGTACGCGAATCGAATCGAATCGAACCGTACGCTGTCTTCACACACGTAGTTACAAATCATCACATTTCAGAAACTACGCCAACTTTTGCAAAACTAAACCGAAATTGTAACTCGATGTCCAATTAACAGTTAACAAAACTTCTAGTAACGAACAACGTTTATTTTTGTTGTTGTTGTTGTTGTTGAACGTTCATATTTTTCATCGTCCAAATCAAACGGTATGTTGGTTCCGACTTCGTGTCGACTCTACCAACCGGTGCGGGATAAGCCTGGGTAAACGCGTATTTTATTTTAAACAAATGGCCAAGTTTGATTGGATGCGCTTGTTGTTCGTCAGCAAAGTGACAAATATCTATGTCGACCATGATCAAGGTAAAAATACAACTCTGTACTGTATTTTAATAGATTGCTGATTCAGTGGGTGTTTATTTTTGTCGCATCTCCCATCCTCGTCGTTAATGGCGCCTATTAAATACACACTGTAGTGGTTTAATCTGCCAAGAGTTAGTTTGGAGGGGTGACCCGAAGCAAACGTACCTTGGCTGGCGATCATGACATTTAGTAACTCGAACCTTACGACGGAGAAACAACGAATTTGTGTTTTGTTTAACGTTGTACATTTCCCGTAATTCGAAGTTAGGTTAACCGATAATTAAGGCGCGGTGGTCGTCGCGCTGCGCATGTGCGACATTTGTGTTGATAAACCTTGATTTTCCAGCCATCCAATGCGCTCTACAAATGTAAATCACAAATATGAGGTGACGCGACTAGCACTGATTACCTCCGATGACTCCTTTGATACCTTCCAATCACCTAAAAATTCCCAATTAAAGATTTGAAACGTCTCAGTTCGTACTCGTTGATCTGCGCAAGTCAAAGTCGCCAACATATTTTTGTTTATACGAGACCCATATATCTCGCGTGGCGCGACAACAAGCGCCCTTTAATTAACACTTTCTCTATAATGCCCGGAATGACAATTTATTGCAACCCATTGCCGTAGAGGGCGCTTATTAGACGTAGGTTACGTGATAAATTTCCAATGTCGGCTGCAGAATTACATATTTCCGATAGCCCAGCAGAACTGGTATTTTAAATGTTCTTCCTTATATAATGAAATCTAGTTCTTATGTGCTAAACAGTGACCTTGATTCGGTCCAAATCTTTGCTGAAGAAACAAGATTGCGGACTACATAAATTGATGAAAAGTTGAATATCTAGAGAATGAAAAGTGATATAAAAAAAAACAACTGTAAATGCATGTTACATTTGAGTATTTTGTTAAGAATCGTCACGCATCATTTTACCTCGTCATTAGCGAGGGAAATTTGGGTCAACGAGGCGAGTTTTTATTATTCATAGTACCATGACTTCGCATGTAAATGGTGTAGCACGAAATGCCACACTTGTGAATCTGAGAGAGTAAATGTATCTTCGTTTACTTGTACTCCAGATTTCGATTTTAGACTATGATCCATGAATTCACGCTATTATATTGTACTTATATTTTCACTTGTTAAACATCATGAGGTTTATACATCTCTTTTTTTTTACTGATTTGACTATATTGTGTATTGTACTCGTTTTCACGATTGCTTTCAATCATATGTTTTGTGTTCTCGTACTTGTAAATTCCCTACACGACATATGTAAACTGATCTCCCGTAAGTTATTTCCACTTTACAGAACATGCCCATTCCTTAATCTGCCATGACATGTATATATAAACATAATAATACGGCCAGTAAAGTGATCATAAAACTAAACTTTTTGGAAATTATGATATCAAAAATTAAAATCACAAATCATCAGTACAATGTGAATGTTAAAGGCAGTTGAAGTGAAAGTAAAGCTGAATTCACAGGAATTAATTGAAGAATCGAGCACTATAACTGAGCTATTGCGCAAGCCTATTGATATACATATAATCTACAAGGTAACCCACACACATTCAGAGTTTAATGACACGATTTTAACACCAACAACGAAATGTTTCCTGGGTGCTTCCATGAGTATAGTACTAAGATTATGTAACATGTTATGAATAATGCATGGGACAATTAAAGTGGGGGATTTGTCACCTGCGCATGCGTCAGATGGCCATAGCGTGTCATTGTTTACAAACAAGCGTCTACCCATGAGCCTTTGCGTTTTTAGCATGTGTTGTTATCGTCGCTTGTAAACTGTTTTGATTAAATTCGGCGAGAACACAGCCAAACACCGATAAAATGAGAGATCGCCACACCAACACCGTCAGTAGAGTGAAAGTGGGTTGTCATGCACGCCAGTGCAAAGGTCAAAATTGTAATGCCCACTGAGTGTAGCACTGATATTTTAATTTAAATTATGAATTCAAACAGATTTATTGTCCTAGTCAAAACATAAAATAAAAAAGCGTTTTTAAAAACAAATGCGACACCGGCGAATACGCCAAACCACAGTCACTCTATCCCCGGTCTGAAAAAGGTCATTGTATTAGATTTGAATTGGCCTCCTTCCCTGGCAAAGACGCGTTGCGGGTATGCGCAAAGCATTGTCACGTGATCAGTACACAGTCAGTCACTATTTTTGACATCGTCATCGCTATGTGTTTTTTACAACTTTGTAGTTGATTCCAGAATTCAAATATTGTGTTGCAATTTTTATGTTTTTTTTTTCTCATGATTGTGTTCCGAGCTGTACAGCAGTTGACCGTTTGACTTGTGAGATTGACAGTCTGTTGTAATTGTTAAAGCGAGATTAGTGATAAGATAATTAGTGGTCAGTGCATACATACTGTTCAGTTAGTAAGAGTTGACATTGTATTTTGCCTAGAGGGAGATTACAACGCATTAGTGTGGTTGATAGTGAAAATTACTGTTAGGGAGGGTTTACATTGGTTTTATATTGTTAAGCTAATTACAGTGAGCATGTACACTGAGGTCGTTTAGCAACATACTGGTTAATGTTTTACTTCTATTTCATGTAATACTGGTATATGCAGATAACCATTGATGTAATTAAATTGTTTGTGAGATTGACTTATGATCATATTTGTTTTACTACATGCCTGCGGATATCACCTTTGTGAAGCGGCTGTGCTGTCTGGTTACCATAGAAACCAACAAAGATACACATACGGACACCCTTGAGATTAAAACGGTCTTAATAAATTTCTGTTAACGCGCCCCCCCCCTTTGCCAGTCTCTTTCAAGTGGCTAGCCAGGTCTTGTGTGTGGTGTGGATGAGGGAAGGGTGACAGTGGCGCCCAATGTGGGATGCGTATGTTTATGTACATGGTACACGTGTTGGTGAGATATCGTAGTGCTTATTGTTCAGGTTGTATTTCGTTTGGTCTGTGTACCGGGTGTTTATAGTTGTTTCGAATTGTTGTGTAAAGTAGACATTCTGCCATCAAACTCTTTTTTATTTGCACGTAATAAGCTTTTTAGTCAGCCAGTATGTCATGTAACAGTAGAGATGACTATAGCACAACGCTTGAGGGTGAGCAAGTATACAGACTTGTGATAGACAATATTGAGAGTAGCAGTCATGGTAATGATAATGATGAGGTACACATCTGTCAACACAAAGGTATAGACGTGATCGCAGTACTGAACATGGTAATGCAGGGGTAATGATAATGATGAGGTACCTCCACTGGGTAGTGGCCATGATGGGATCACGTATAGTTACTCTTGATAGATTGTCTGAGAGATGTGAGAAGTCTGTGCTTTGAAGCATGAACTGCAATATGAAAAGTGTCTGAGACAACGAGCAGAGCTTGATTGTGAGGCGATGGCAGAGGATGAAAGGGAAGCAGACAAGGTGAACACATCTGTCAACACAAAGTTATAGACGTGATCGCAGTAATGAACATGGTAATGCAGGGGTAATGATAATGATGAGGTACCTCCACTGGGTAGTGGCCATGATGGGATCTCTGGTGAGAAATCACGTATAGTTACTCTTGATAGATTGTCTGAGAGATGTGAGAAGTCTGTGCTTTGAAGCATGAACTGCAATATGAAAAGTGTCTGAGACAACGAGCAGAGCTTGATTGTGAGGCGATGGCAGAGGATGAAATGGAAGCAGACAAGGTGAACACATCTGTCAACACAAAGGTATAGACGTGATCGC